GGACAGGGCTGGAGGACGAGTGAGGAAGGCCTGAGCGGGGCCATTCTATCCAGGGGGACACGTCCTCCTGGGAACAAGGAGCCCTGGTGTGCAGTATGGACGCTGCTAACCACAAGGTCAGTTGTTTGAACCCCCTGGCTGTTCTGAGGGACGACACTGAGGCAGTCCACGTCTGTGGAGGTCACAGCTGTGCCCACTGCTCACTCAGGGGCAAGTGGGCGCTGACGCCACGCTGTGACCCCGGAGGAAGGGGAGAACCCCCAAACGCACTGCTCTGCAGTTGGTCACGACGCGTGTGCCCAGGGTTCCAAGGCTGCAAGTCGGTGGGAATTGACCACCTCATCTCTCTCCAGGAGCGGCCAGTGGGCTCGAACCACCAATCTTAAAGTTAGCAGCCAAATGCTTAACTGCTGCACCACCAAGTCTCCTTTATAATAATCAGGATAACAACTAAAATAAAAGTGACACTTGCAGGGGAGCTCTGGTGGCCTAGTGGCAAGAAGCTGCACTGCAATCCCAGAGGCACACGGTTCGAATCCACCAGATGCTCTGCCGAGGAAGGAGGGGCAATCTCCTTCTGTACCAGTCAGATCTGATTTGACGGTACACACGCACACACAAATAATAAAAAAATAAAAATAAAAAAAACGACACTTGCTGCTGTGGTGGACCCACTGCCGTTGGCCATGGTCCTGCAGGATGGGGTGGGCCCGGCCGTGGCAGCTCCGGGCCCCGCGGATCTTTCTGTAAGTGGACTGCACGTTCCTCTCCCACACAGGGGCCCCTGGGGTCGAACTGCTGGCCCTGCCATTAGTAGTGGAACACTTCAAGCACTGCCCCACCAGGCTCCTTGGCAGAAGGAAGGGGTGTCTTTCTCCTATGCCCAGCCTCGCCAGGAGGGCAGGTGGGGGCCCGGGACCCCACCCCAGGGCCCGCCGAGGGTCCTCACCCAGACAAACACGGAGAAGAAGGTGCAGGTGATGGTGGCCTTGGCGCTGCTGCTGCCCAGCAGAAAGTCCTGGGGCCGCGAGTGCTGCCACTGGTTGGCCAGGAAGCAGAAGCCCACGAACCAGACGCAGGCCCAGAGGGCTGTGGGGTCACAAGGAGAGAGCTGAGGTCAAGGGCAGGGCTGGTGCGGGGGTGCCCCAGGGGAAGGGGAGAGGGGCTCAGAAGTGGACCCCATGCTCTCAGCAGGAGTGGACCTGCGTTCAGCCCCTACCACCCAGGTCACCCCCTCTGTTGGGCCTGGTGGCTTGTGAGTGGCTGTGAGGCTGGGCGCTGGTTGAGGTTGTCAGGGGTCATGACAGCAAAGCCCATCCTCAACTCCATGCTGCAGCCGCTTTGGCCAAACCTCTCCTTTTCAAACGACTGACCCCTCCTGACAACAAAGAACGAGGCTCCCCATTCCGGCTTCTCGGGGGACCAGGGCCAGCTGCACCCTGGCTGCAATTTGTCCAAGACAGATTTGTTTGCGTGTTCTTCTCCAAGACCACAATTCAAGGCATCGGGTCTTCTTCCATCTTCCTTATGTGCTGTCCAACTCTCACATGAAGTGACTGAACGGACCGTGACAGTATCTGTGGACGTGGCTTGGGCCAGGTTCGAAGCCAGGTCACCGTATTTCGGCTACCGGCTTGGCTCACCATGGTACGCAGGTCTCAGCAGAGCTTCCAGACCCAGACAGACAAGGAAGAAAGGCCTGGTGGATTGACTTCCAAAGGCCTGGTGAGTGATTGCCTTCCAAAAGGCAGCCAAGGAATCCCTCTGGAGCACAGCGGAACAGTGTCTGACGTTGTGCGGGGAGATGAGCCCATGGGCTGAGAGGCACTTGGTGCACAGCGGCCAGAACAGCGGGCTCCAGCGACGTGAGGACGTGTGGGACCCCAGTGGGGTATCCACGAGTCGGAGCCACTGGGCAGCGAACTGTGTTTGTGTTTAAACCAATTAAATCAACATTGAAAAGAATTCAAGTCCTCGGTTGTGCTGTCCCCGAGACAAGCTCACGGGCACGGTGGCCAGTCGTTGCTGAGTTGGAAAGCGAGGAGAGAGGGCATGCCACTGGCCTGGAAGGGGCTCCTGGTCAGCGCTGGGCTCTGAGACCTCAGGACCGGGTCAGCTCAGAGATGCTCAGACTGGTCCGGTGGGGAGGAAGGAGAGGAGGGAGAGGAGGAGGAGGAAGAGAAGCAGAGCTGGGATTGGCCAGCCTGAGAGGAAGGGGTCTGAGGAAAAGGAAGGTGCATGTGTGTAGTGCTTACTGAGAGCCCTGGCTGTGCAAGGATTAAGCACTGAGCTTAAGAAAAGGAAAGGTTGGCAGTTCGAATCCACCCAGGACTGTGTCTCTGCCCTGCCACATTGACTATGAGCCTAAATTGATAAAACCAGAGGTAGGAAGTGGCCTCTTGGGTAGACACAGGTGGCTGGGAGATCTTGGCCACCACAACCTTCTTCTGGGGGCTTGACGAGACCTCACCCCTTTTGTGCTGGGGGAGAGGCCTACCTGGCAGGGCAGGTGGGGTGCGGTGATGGCTGCCCATGGGGACGGCGACTTTCCCACATGGAGGAGTGGAGTCTGGTGGGTCCTGAGGCTTTTCTCGTGTGTCCCCAGGAAACCCGCCCTGATGTCCGTTTCACCGAGGAGGCTTTTCTCGTGTGTCCCCAGGAAACC